GAAAATTATGACTAAAAGAATGTAAAATATATTAAAGAATTCATAAACCTTTTTATATACCTTAACAGAGTATGTATTTAAACAATATTTTAAACTCAAATAATAAATTTAAAGTGTTAAATATTGATTCAACTAACAATGTAGGGATTTTTTTTTAAATCAACTAGTAATTAATGATATAACAATTTTATTTTATATTATTATTACAATTTGTTATCTGTTTTTCTTTTGATAAAAAAGAGAATCTATCAATTAATACTGTATTTTTAATTTAACATTAATTATTCTTTATTAGAAAATTTTAATTTTCAATTCAAAAGATAAATTTTCTAATTAAAAAGAGCCCATATGATATTTATGGCAGCATACTTAGATAATTTAATATATTAATAGTAGACCATTCTTTTTAAAAGATTTGAAATTCTAGAATGGAGGATGATATTATAAAATTACTTTGATTAAAAAGAAAATTGAAACGCTTAATTATCTGGATGATAATATTAATGTGATCCATTTTTAATTAAAAGTATCTTTAAATTCTGAAAAACCTCAATTATTTGATTATTTAATATTATTAATATTTCATTTAATTTAAATGTTCTTTAAATACTTGTGAATTATAGTAGTATTATCATTAATTATTAAGCATTATCATATTTATAAAAAATATAATTTACTTAAATATTTGACTTATGAAAAAATGATAAGATCCCATATACTTAAAGTAAATTTTATGATAAATCAATCCTAGATTTTATTCTAACTCTTAAACTTAAATTGGAACTAGCTCTTGAATTATCTCTTTTAAGGATTACACAATACTTTTTAATCAGATAAAGGAAAACATTATTGTCCAAAATAACAGATTGTTTACTTGAGAGTAACCACAGTCTTTAAAGAATTTATAAAGAGGTTAATCATCATAAATTACCTATTTTAATTTTCTCAAATAAACATACTCTTAATTTCTTTAAGCTTATTTTTATGATACACTTTACCACATCTTTCCATTATTTCGTATAAGAAAGCTAATTTTGTAAAGGAATTAATTATAGCTGCAAGTTTATCTCATCATTTAAAGCAAATTAAACTTGTATTGGGCAAGCATATCGTTGGTTAATTACAATATCAACTTTTTCCCTAAAATCAATCAAAAGGCTTTGGAATCAAACCTAAAATAATTCTTAAATAATCTCAATAAGCATAAATTCATTTTCAAAAGACCAAAGTTTAATTTCTACAAAATCATCGCTACTAGTTTTTGGGTTTATGTTAAAAAGTATCCAAAAGTTCTTAAATTTGAATTATTCCAGTCGCGCTTATCTATAAAAAGTAGAGGAATTACATTTTCATCTTCATTATTAAATTAATCTCTAATATTCTAATAATATTCGTTCCTAAGTTCATTCCAGCAATGCCAAAATCTAATATGGGATTTTAAAGTATTTATTTCCTTCAATGTTAGAAATCTTAAATCTCAAATATTGAACTTAATAAAGCTTAGCATGAAATTTTCAATTTACAAGTAGTTTTTCAAATATAAATAATAATATAAACATGTAGAGTATTAAGGTTTTTCAGGTTTTTTCAAACATTTTCTTAAGTTTGATTTATTTAATTAGATGACTATACAAAATTCGAATTTTTTTCACTTTAGATTAATTAACCTAATTTATTTATTATTAAATTTAAATTTAGATATATTTTTACTAATTTTATCTATTTATTATTAAATCTTTTTTCTTTATACCTAAAGAAATTTTTATTCAATATCATAATTTGATTCAACCATCATATTTTCAGTTCTGGTTTTATAATAAATTTATTAAAATTTTTTATTCTCCTCTTAAAGTTTCTTTAATCAGAATATTATATTTTAGAATTTAGGTACCTATTAAATTCTCATATTCAAATCAGTCTATTACTAATAATATGAATTGTTATTAGTTTTATTAATTCAAGAGATATTAGAATTTGTTAATTTGATTGTTTTTTTTCAACTCTATTTGAAGGAATAATTAAAGATTTTTTTTTATTTTATTTGTTCATTATTCTCAGGAATTACTAAATTAGATAAATTACTAAAATCATAATACACTATAAATAAGTTATAACTTAATTGATTAATTTGCTTTGTATGATTTCAATCTTATAAAATGATTTGCGAATTCCTAACTTTTTTATTAATTTATTTTTGATAAATTACTAAAATCATAATATCGATTAAGAATTATGTTATTTATTATACACTATAAATAAGTTATAACTTAATTGATTAATTTGCTTTGTATGATTTCAATCTTATAAAATGATTTGCGAATTCCTAACTTTTTTATTAATTTATTTTGATTTTTCTCTGTTTACTAAAAGATTATTTTAGATGAAGTAAGTAAATTATTACAATTAATAATAAATAAACTCTAGAATGCAGCTAAAGCCTTTCTATTGTATAATCCGTAAACAACTTTGGAAAGTTGCGTGAATGAGGATGTTGTGTAGCCCTTACATATTTAGTTTTTCTGGGATATAAGTTTTAATATCATAATGGTATGGAATAACTTCCCAATAGCAAAATTCATAAGGTATTCAACTAACCTGAAGTGCAAATATGAGTTTAACCAATTACAAAATAAACTTTATCTATGTCCCATATGATAAGGGTCCCTATATAAGATCCATGTTGTGCTAAAATAAAATGATTCTTTAAATGCCCTTACAATTCTTTAATTTGTTGATTCAGAAAGACCCAAAGCCACTCCATTAAAATCTAAAAAATTTATATTAAATTATATTTGTTGTAAAGTACAAGAGAATTCGATTCTGATAACATTAAATGGGAAATTGTAAAAGCATGAATTTGTAATCTTGAAACTTAAAATTTAAATTATTGAATTTCAATTTCGTTAATGAAAAAATTCTTTCTTTTATTGTAAAAATATTTTATCAATTTTTGATTTTTTAAATGTATAATTGCCACTTTATTTCCTTCAATTATTTTAAGTAGAATAATCAAATATTTTCTAAATCTAATTATTTAAATATATTTCCTCATAAGGATTAGAAAATGATATATCCAAAGTAGAAATCCAACTTTTATCTGACAACCTATTTGTGTGAATCTTGATCTCTCATAATAGAATACTCTAGAATTCAAGTGAAATTTATTACTAAGAACATCAGAAATATCAATTTAGGTGAATAATTGAAATTTCTGTGCTTAGTAGGAATTTTATAGGTCTATGAAAGGATTGTATAAACATTAAAATAGACTATCTTAAGTTTTGTACAAGATATGTACCAGCCAGCAGATAAGGTGAATGGAGTTGTCCATTTATAATCATTATTGGAAAATATGATCTTAGTTTCCATAAAAGACTTAATGAATCTAAAATTGACTCATTGCTGATAAATTACACATAATGGATATTGAAATTATGATATCTGGGGATTGAAGATAAGTAAGTTTTTTTTATGATTTTAATATATTAATAATGATTTTTATTATTGAAAGAACTGACTGATATATATTAAAAACCATAAGAATTGACCTGATAAATTCTAATAGTTTTAATTAAAAAATATTACAATAATTATTATTAATGAGAAAGAGCTCCTAAATTGTTATTATTAGAATATGATTAATTAGATACCATCCTTTTAAAAACTTCGAGTCTATTTATTACTCTTTATTGAAATGAATCGAATTTCTATTGAAGATTTGAGAAAATGAATTAGAATATTTCATAATAATACAAAATTGAATTCACAATATAAAAAATAAATGTCCTCAATAATTTTTAATATAATCTCAAAAATTTTTCACATTAAGATCTAATATTTAATTTTCGATTGGTAATGTATCTTCTTCCATTTTGGTAATAGATGACAAAAATTGGATTTGAAAAGTAAGGATCTTTAAAGATTGGTAAATAAAAAAATTAAAAAATGAATATTATTTGTATTCTATTTCTTTAATCATAGATCATATTGAGTAAAATGTAACAAAATGCTGTGTCATTTAAACTTATGCCTCTTTATGTCTATATTCAAAAAGAAAATGATGGATTATTACTGATAAAACCTAAAATCATGGAAGTTTTATTGCAATAAAAATGAAAATTTCTTTTTTCAAGAAATATTAATACGAATTTTCCATTAACCTTTGTTTAAATTTAATATTTAGGAAATCTAAAATAATATATAATTTCAATCTAGGATTTATCGAATTTTTAGCAAGAAATAAAAAAAATATCTTTATCATAACAGATTAAAAAAGGCTATATTTAAAAGATAAACTCTAAACTCATCTTTTTTAATAAATATTATACAAAATTTGGAAAATATGATAAATTATATTTCTAATTTAAATTAATAATTTTCATTATTCTTTGTATCTTCTGAGTTGTATTTCTTTTGATTTGTTCTCCCAAGTTATTAGATACTCTCCATCATCGCTTATTCTTCCAAATAAAACATTTGTACTAAAATGAATAGATTATTCAGTTAAGTATTCTCCATTTTATTTTTTCCTTATTAAATTGACATATTCACCATTTTTACTGAATAATATGGATTTTGAATTTAAATATTATTAAGGAAATAAACAATAACCATCTGATCCACATTTTACAACAATATCTTTAGTTTTTGTAAACTATTTATTGATAGTGTTCATCTCAAAAATAGATATCTAATTTTAACCACATTGTGATAATGTGAATATATCATTATCAATAAAGCATACTCGTAATGTAGATAATTCAACTGTAATTTTTTATGTAACAATCCATTCTTTATTCTATTATTATTGTTCAATTATTAATATTTATTTATCATTACCACAAGAAACCACTCTATTTTACTATTAATTTAAACTTAATCCAAATACAGAATTATAATGATCTTTAATAGTTTGTTAACACGTCCATTCATTCTTTTTCATCCAAAATTTAATTGTATTATCTGAACCTCCTGATATAATCAAGTCTTCATTATTATTTAATATTAAACAATATATCCAACTATTATGTCCATTTAATATCTATTAAGTAACATATTATTGATTTTAATTCTATTACCATATAATGATAGATTAATAACTCCCTGAAATAAACTAATTTGATTTCTTCATGAAATTTAGAGTATGTACATCATTATTATGCTCACTTAAAATTTATTTTAATTTCATAATTCCTTAATTAAATTCAAATACTTTAATTTCTTTATCACATCCAGCCAATAAGATTGAACAATCTTTATTTATATCTATTGCCCTACAACATTCATTTTATGAAATTGAATATTGTNNAAAGGATTGTATAAACATTAAAATAGACTATCTTAAGTTTTGTACAAGATATGTACCAGCCAGCAGATAAGGTGAATGGAGTTGTCCATTTATAATCATTATTGGAAAATATGATCTTAGTTTCCATAAAAGACTTAATGAATCTAAAATTGACTCATTGCTGATAAATTACACATAATGGATATTGAAATTATGATATCTGGGGATTGAAGATAAGTAAGTTTTTTTTATGATTTTAATATATTAATAATGATTTTTATTATTGAAAGAACTGACTGATATATATTAAAAACCATAAGAATTGACCTGATAAATTCTAATAGTTTTAATTAAAAAATATTACAATAATTATTATTAATGAGAAAGAGCTCCTAAATTGTTATTATTAGAATATGATTAATTAGATACCATCCTTTTAAAAACTTCGAGTCTATTTATTACTCTTTATTGAAATGAATCGAATTTCTATTGAAGATTTGAGAAAATGAATTAGAATATTTCATAATAATACAAAATTGAATTCACAATATAAAAAATAAATGTCCTCAATAATTTTTAATATAATCTCAAAAATTTTTCACATTAAGATCTAATATTTAATTTTCGATTGGTAATGTATCTTCTTCCATTTTGGTAATAGATGACAAAAATTGGATTTGAAAAGTAAGGATCTTTAAAGATTGGTAAATAAAAAAATTAAAAAATGAATATTATTTGTATTCTATTTCTTTAATCATAGATCATATTGAGTAAAATGTAACAAAATGCTGTGTCATTTAAACTTATGCCTCTTTATGTCTATATTCAAAAAGAAAATGATGGATTATTACTGATAAAACCTAAAATCATGGAAGTTTTATTGCAATAAAAATGAAAATTTCTTTTTTCAAGAAATATTAATACGAATTTTCCATTAACCTTTGTTTAAATTTAATATTTAGGAAATCTAAAATAATATATAATTTCAATCTAGGATTTATCGAATTTTTAGCAAGAAATAAAAAAAATATCTTTATCATAACAGATTAAAAAAGGCTATATTTAAAAGATAAACTCTAAACTCATCTTTTTTAATAAATATTATACAAAATTTGGAAAATATGATAAATTATATTTCTAATTTAAATTAATAATTTTCATTATTCTTTGTATCTTCTGAGTTGTATTTCTTTTGATTTGTTCTCCCAAGTTATTAGATACTCTCCATCATCGCTTATTCTTCCAAATAAAACATTTGTACTAAAATGAATAGATTATTCAGTTAAGTATTCTCCATTTTATTTTTTCCTTATTAAATTGACATATTCACCATTTTTACTGAATAATATGGATTTTGAATTTAAATATTATTAAGGAAATAAACAATAACCATCTGATCCACATTTTACAACAATATCTTTAGTTTTTGTAAACTATTTATTGATAGTGTTCATCTCAAAAATAGATATCTAATTTTAACCACATTGTGATAATGTGAATATATCATTATCAATAAAGCATACTCGTAATGTAGATAATTCAACTGTAATTTTTTATGTAACAATCCATTCTTTATTCTATTATTATTGTTCAATTATTAATATTTATTTATCATTACCACAAGAAACCACTCTATTTTACTATTAATTTAAACTTAATCCAAATACAGAATTATAATGATCTTTAATAGTTTGTTAACACGTCCATTCATTCTTTTTCATCCAAAATTTAATTGTATTATCTGAACCTCCTGATATAATCAAGTCTTCATTATTATTTAATATTAAACAATATATCCAACTATTATGTCCATTTAATATCTATTAAGTAACATATTATTGATTTTAATTCTATTACCATATAATGATAGATTAATAACTCCCTGAAATAAACTAATTTGATTTCTTCATGAAATTTAGAGTATGTACATCATTATTATGCTCACTTAAAATTTATTTTAATTTCATAATTCCTTAATTAAATTCAAATACTTTAATTTCTTTATCACATCCAGCCAATAAGATTGAACAATCTTTATTTATATCTATTGCCCTACAACATTCATTTTATGAAATTGAATATTGTTAAATTAGTTAATAAGTGAATGATTGAACATCTGATTTATTAATCGATTAAATAGTTTCTAATTTTTCATTATTTGATTAATTATAGAGTAATGACTTTTATTTATTTAATGGTTGTAATAGAGTATCTTTATCTGGTACTTTTTATTCAATTGATTTTTAATTTTTTTTAATTCTTTCTATCTTTTCTTTTTAAATTTCTTAAGTCATATATTGTTTATGACCTAAAATTTGCAAATTCTCTTCTTATTTTATAGATATTGTTTTATGATTAATTTAATTGTTAACATTAAGTGTTATTAATGATTACATGTCTTAAGATAATTATTGAGCAAGGCTTAATTTCTCAAAATTAGTTTTAGGTGTATTAACAGAAGTTAATTTAATAGGTTGATAATTATAATTGATTAATTCAGTTAAATTAAGAAGTGAATCAATTTCATTGTTAATATTATTGAATGAAGACTATTAAATATATTAATAAATAATATTACTTCTAATTGATTTAAAAAAGCTTCTGTGCATTCATCTACTTTTTATTAATAATTATTTGTTTTCATATCAATTTTTTATTAATTTCTAAATTATTTAATCAAAGATAATATTTCAATAAATCTATTTATACTAAAAAAAACGTAAATCAATATCTTCTAAAAATATGTATTATATTACAAAGTTTAAATTTTATTATATTTTATAGAATAGCCTGCTTATTTGTTCGATATAATATTTAATAAGTCTAATTAGAATGATGAATTAATTAAAAATTAAATTNGATTTTGAATTTAAATATTATTAAGGAAATAAACAATAACCATCTGATCCACATTTTACAACAATATCTTTAGTTTTTGTAAACTATTTATTGATAGTGTTCATCTCAAAAATAGATATCTAATTTTAACCACATTGTGATAATGTGAATATATCATTATCAATAAAGCATACTCGTAATGTAGATAATTCAACTGTAATTTTTTATGTAACAATCCATTCTTTATTCTATTATTATTGTTCAATTATTAATATTTATTTATCATTACCACAAGAAACCACTCTATTTTACTATTAATTTAAACTTAATCCAAATACAGAATTATAATGATCTTTAATAGTTTGTTAACACGTCCATTCATTCTTTTTCATCCAAAATTTAATTGTATTATCTGAACCTCCTGATATAATCAAGTCTTCATTATTATTTAATATTAAACAATATATCCAACTATTATGTCCATTTAATATCTATTAAGTAACATATTATTGATTTTAATTCTATTACCATATAATGATAGATTAATAACTCCCTGAAATAAACTAATTTGATTTCTTCATGAAATTTAGAGTATGTACATCATTATTATGCTCACTTAAAATTTATTTTAATTTCATAATTCCTTAATTAAATTCAAATACTTTAATTTCTTTATCACATCCAGCCAATAAGATTGAACAATCTTTATTTATATCTATTGCCCTACAACATTCATTTTATGAAATTGAATATTGTTAAATTAGTTAATAAGTGAATGATTGAACATCTGATTTATTAATCGATTAAATAGTTTCTAATTTTTCATTATTTGATTAATTATAGAGTAATGACTTTTATTTATTTAATGGTTGTAATAGAGTATCTTTATCTGGTACTTTTTATTCAATTGATTTTTAATTTTTTTTAATTCTTTCTATCTTTTCTTTTTAAATTTCTTAAGTCATATATTGTTTATGACCTAAAATTTGCAAATTCTCTTCTTATTTTATAGATATTGTTTTATGATTAATTTAATTGTTAACATTAAGTGTTATTAATGATTACATGTCTTAAGATAATTATTGAGCAAGGCTTAATTTCTCAAAATTAGTTTTAGGTGTATTAACAGAAGTTAATTTAATAGGTTGATAATTATAATTGATTAATTCAGTTAAATTAAGAAGTGAATCAATTTCATTGTTAATATTATTGAATGAAGACTATTAAATATATTAATAAATAATATTACTTCTAATTGATTTAAAAAAGCTTCTGTGCATTCATCTACTTTTTATTAATAATTATTTGTTTTCATATCAATTTTTTATTAATTTCTAAATTATTTAATCAAAGATAATATTTCAATAAATCTATTTATACTAAAAAAAACGTAAATCAATATCTTCTAAAAATATGTATTATATTACAAAGTTTAAATTTTATTATATTTTATAGAATAGCCTGCTTATTTGTTCGATATAATATTTAATAAGTCTAATTAGAATGATGAATTAATTAAAAATTAAATTTTAGGGGATTTAATGTTCAATAAATGGAAAGAGAAACACAAAGAAAATAGATATTATAATGTAATATTGAATACAACAATTGATATAATATCATTATTATGATTACTTATGAAATATAGAAGTTTCTTTATTATAAGAACCATTAAGATAAGGGACTAATAGCAGATAATTTTCAATTACAAATGTATTTTAAGATTACTTACCTGATTAAATTTAAGGACCTTTGATTTTTTAATTTAAATAATAATATCATGATGTGAAAATCTTCACATATTCCTTTGTATGGTATTTATTGTATTATTATTAATATTGAATAATGATATATTCAAGGGATTACAGTTTTATATTTAAACTTCATTAAGAAGTTAATTATTACCTAGTTAATATCCCATTGATCTTTAATCTAATTTACTTTTTAAAGTAAAAAAGAGAATCTTAGTAAAACAAGAAAAGTTTATTACTTTCATATTAACAGAATAAATAAAACTGAATAAATTAAATACTAAAATTGTAAGAATTAACCATAATCTGGCTGGCCAAATGTGTCAAATAAGAAGAAACTTTCATTAACCAATATTTTATAACAAAGACTTAAAGTATTAGTTGACTTGAAGCGTTAATAAGACCTTTTTTTAGAAGATAAACACAAGAATTTTTAACTTTTCAACTATATCAAAATCTATTCTTATCATATTTTTATGAGTGTACAAGAAATATAAGTTAAAGCTATCTTATCCCATTAATAAAGATTCATTAGCTCTATTTTAGGGTCACTTTATTATAATCTATAAACCTGCATGGGTTTTAACAATAATTATTATGAAATTATTTCTTCCTGATATTTAAAATAATTAGTATTATTAATCCCTCTTAAAAGGCATCATTCCAATATCTAATTATCTGCTGTTTGAATTAGAGTAGGAAACAAGCTGATTTCATCTTACCCCTTACTGTTATTATTTTTAGCCATTCCTTATTAACCATATTCTTACTCAAGTGATTATTTAATCAAATTACAGGTCTCTTGTGAAGATATTCCTAAATTAATTAGGGCATATTACACTTCTTGGCAATTAGCTGATCGCCTTAGTAAGTTTCACCATTCTAGAAAAACACAAATAAAATTAAATAATAAATATAAAATTAGATCAAGATTTTTTCATTTTCTAACAGAAAATCAGCCTTGAGCTTCTCACTCCAATATATATTATTTATTTTGTTTTGGTAGTAAAGATAATTTTGAAATATAAAACTTTGTCAAGCTTAATTCATTCCTTAGATTGATCCAACTTGTATCTGAAAATATTTCTTTTTTAGTAGGCTGATTCAACTAGTTATTTGAAATACAAGCTAGATTTGGAGAATTACTAAGTATGAATAGAAAATAATATTAATATATATATCAATATTTTTCAAATGATTATAAACGACCCTATTAGGATTTGTGGTATAATTATGCTTGTAAATAAGATTATTGCTCCTTTATAATCTTCATAGTTTCATCCTAAAATAGTCTTTATTTTGTAAATAAACTCTATGATAAATTGAGTGAAATAATTAGGATGTGAAGAAAATTGCTAATAAAAGCAGCAATACTTTTGAATCTATGTATTGTTTAAATAAACTTATAAATATTCTCATTATCCAAAACTACATGGTTTAGAAATATGAATATAAATATGTTAAAAATTTAATTCTAAAGCAGATGATATTAAAATATTTTAAAAAAAGAATCCATTCAATAACATATTAAAATAGCCTCAGAAAATAATAAACTATAATTTATTTTATTATATCTCAATAAAAAACTATACAAGTATCTGACTGTTTCTTTTGATTCGTTATCAAGCAACTTTTGATTTTATGGATCACCAATTTACTATATTTTTACAACTATTGGTAGATATCAATCGCTAAGGTGAAAACAAGGATCAGAGTGAAACCACTTATATTAACCCACCCTAAACTTTCAGCTGATTCTCTGTCTTAATTTAATTTCAGTATTTCATATAAAGAAAATATTATAGCATTTAACATAATCAATACTTCTGTTATGATTATTTTTATATTTTCTAAATTGTTCTCAAAAGGTTTATAGATATATAAATAACAAGAGAATATTCCTGATATGTATGCTGTAATTAAACATTAAGTTCCAATAAGACCTTAAAATAGGACTAAATTTATAATGAATAAGGTTTTCTTAATCAATAATACTACAAAATATTATTTGGGTCCTTAATGTGCTTAGTTCTTAATTCCTTCAACTAATACTGATAAATTGTTAGCAACTGCATTCTTATAGCTTAGATATGAGTAAAAATAGGCTAAAAAAATGAAATTAAATATCAATGTAATTAAAGCTAAATAAGAGATAGTTGTATTTATTGTGGTGTCTGTATTAAAATTAGCCAATTATAAAATAGATGCAAATGTCAAATCATAAAAGTTAGATGTAAAAATTCTAATTAATCCAGAATAAATAAAATACTAATAGTATTTTCTTGCAAATCTTTGAATAAAAAAAATAACTTTAACTATTTTGAGAATAAATCCTTTTTCATTATTTAATTACCAATTTTCATACTTACATATAATAAGTAATTTGTAAAATAAATATGATATCAAAAAATTAATAAATCCAAATATTATTATAAGTAAAAGTGTCTCAAAGTTTTCCAAAAAGTAACAATTAATTTAATAGTATTCAAATTTCCATTTAGCTATTATGACTGGAGCTTAAAAATTAAATATATATTGTAAATTTTGATCTATTTACAATCTATTTAGAATTGGAGTAAAAGAGCCTATTGAAAAAATCTCAAAATAATATTCTAAGTTTTCTGGGAATTCTATATTATGAAATTTCATATAGGATAATTATTAAAACATATCAAGGATATTCCATAAGATTTCTAAATTACCACATAAAAAAGAAATTCCACTTATAATAAAGATGATATACAATACAATTCTACTCATCATGGAAGTTTTTGTCATAATTAAATATTACTCATCTGACATTTTATAGATAGATCTAAATTCCAATTTTGCTTCATTTGATAATAAAGTGTTACCTTAGATATTTTCTATATTGTCACTATTTACTTTAACTTTTAAAACAGGATTATAAACATTAGTTTTAAAATTCACTACTATTTTATAATTTACATCTGCCAATTAAGTAGTGATAGGGATTATAGATTTAATTTCAATGGTATATTCTTGATCTTTGGCATTTATTATTTCAATAAAAATTAAATGAAGAAATTATTCTTCACTAATACTTTGTTCACTTAAACATACTGGCTCAGAAAATGATAATTTGAACTCTTAATAACTTGTTTCCGTTTTAGTTATTTTGGTTAGTGTAATTTTAGGTAAAATAGCATAGGCACAAACACTAATATCAATTTCATTTAAGCATATCCAATTATCTTCAACTTTGCAAGAATTATTGCATCCATCATTATTTTAAAGATTGCCATCATCACATTATTCTATTTGTGGTATGAAATATCCATCTCCACAAATATTGTTACAATAAGGTCCATCTTCTATAAGTCCATTTTGACATTAAATACACTATCCTTGAAAACAATCAACACATTTCTAATGACATTAAAAAGTACATTGATAACACCCATCAAATTTAATATTATTTCCATCATCACATTATTCGTTTCCTACTGCATAACCATCACCACAATTTGAAATACAAACACCATCAATCAATAACCATCCCATTTTTAAACATTCCTAACACTGATTGCCATTACAAATATTGCATCCTTATGGACATTAAATTTTGCATTTATAACAACCATCATATGGTAAATAATTTCCATCATCACATTATTCATCCTAACTGAAAACAATACCATTACCACAGAAATCAATACATTAATTAGAAAAGCATTTTTTCAGATAGATATCCCAAATGCATTCAACATTTTCACTATCAGTATAGCAAGCTTCTTTAATTTAGTAATCTTAGCAAAGTTGTTTTTTAATGCATCCTCCATTTTAATTAACAGTACAAAATGGCAAATAGGAATTACATTCCTCATATTTAGTTAGAGAAATTTATGCAGTTTAGCATGTTTTAGTGTAACATTTTTTATTTATCCAAACACAAGGATTTAAATTAATATCAAATGTACAGCCATCAATCATATTTATATCTTCACAGGCTTTTCTTTATACACATTAATATCCATTGGTTACACAATGCTTATCTTCAAATATAGATGCACAATCTGAATCTAGAGAATAATAATAATCTTAACATCCTATTTAACGACAACCCAATTTTTTTTGACAAGTGGAATAAAATATTTAACATTCAAAATCTGATTAAGTTGTTGAAGGTGCATTTTCACATAAACGTTCTTAACAAATTACTTATTTATCATTCCAAAAACATTCAACACCATTTAAATTCATTTATCCATCACTGATACATTATTAATAATTGTAGTTCATACAAAAAGTTTAACCAATTTCACATCCATCTAAATTTTTATTGACTGTGCACTAATCATCAAAATATAAATGACAACTATATGCTGTATAATTAATTAATTAGGCTGTTGAACAATCCTTAATAGTACATTTATTTTGACTTTTTATCCATTCGCATTCAACATTATTGTTATCAATCTAACATTATTCTTGTATTTAGTAAGTACTACAATCATTTAATTATTAACATCCATTCAGTGTTGCATTTATTGTACACAAATGTAATTTTTGATTGCATTTTTAATGTGTTTAATAAGATGTTTCCAAATTTTCACATGTTAAATTGACACACTGATTTAATTAAGTATTAAAGTAGCACTAGTTTTTATCTCGATCAATATAACATTAGATTTAATTTGCTGAATTGCATGTAATAGGAAGATCCACACATCGAATTATATCAAGTTTGAGAGTACAGCTTTTATTTTAATAATATAGATCACATTGATCATGAGTGATAAATGATGTACTCGCTGAAGTGCAATCTTCTACACATTTATTATTATCGCTATTGTACTAACAATTGATTAGCCAATTATTGCATTCTAATTGAGAGAGTGAAACAGAAGGATTATTCTAGCATGTTTTTTCTATGCATTATGTATTATTCCAAAAGCAAAGGATACCTTTTGAGTTTTTAGTATTATCACACAATGAACTACTTAAATAATTGCTACAAGCACCAACATTTTTGCATACAGAACCATCCCAAAAACATTTTTATTTAAAAACATCACATTTTACAAATGATTCTAAAGCAGAACAATTTAAGATTTAGCACCCTTAAGATCCATCAGACATACAATAAGGACGACAATTATAACATTACTAGTGTGTAGATGAAGGAGAAAAATTTTAAGCTTAACAAATATTTGTGCAAGCATTATTGATCCAGTAACAATATACATCATCTAGTGATTTTACACAAGCATCTTTGTAAGGATAACTGAAACAATATTCTTTTTTTATTGTGCATTTTTAAGTCATTGAAAAACCAATAGTTTATAATATATTTATATTGTAGCAATCATAATGCGAATTAGGTGATGTCATACTACTTGAACTACAATATTTATGATTGGAACATTAAGATGAATCTGCACACCAATAACATTTACTGATTACTGACTGAATATAACCATAACTATTTTCACAATCAGATAAAATTGTATAATCTGAGCAAATTTTGCTTTTACATTGCCCATTAATCCAATAGCAATTTTATCCATCAACAAGATTTGATGAATTACATATAGTAGAATCATAAATATCATCACATTTATAAAAAGAACATCCTAAGCCTTTAGTATAATTAAATCTGCAATATATAGCATTAACTAATAGGCATTCACGATCTGTAACAGCAGTTGTATTCATTTGACAATCGACATTATTTACACATTTACCATCTTACCAAAAACATGACTATTAATAACATTGATAAATTAGTTTAATTGATGTACAATCTCCTGTGTATTCTGTACAACCAGTATTATCAAAAACACAATCATATTTCCAATCATAACAAATTTAATCTGTAATGACAGAATAATAGGAATAAGATATATGTTAGCATTATCTAGACTCACAAGTATTAATTGAAAAATTATATCCACATTTTTTATCAGCTGTTGAAGTATTACATATTTATTATCCACCTTATTACTCGCTGCATGAAGTCATAATTACACAGCATTAGCAATTTGTATCATATCTATAATTGGATGAATAATTTTGGCATAATTTGTTTCTATCTTAAAATGATTTATATTAATAAAATTCTAAATAAGCTGAGTCTTATTATTGATTACAATTGTTTTCTTGATAGTAACATAATTATCCTAATGCTGTTTTTTTGTTTTAGCAATTAATTAATGATGCCTATTTACTAAAACATTAATTATCAGAACGACAATAATCAGTATAATTGCATTTTTAATTGTATTTCATGGAGGCACTATTACAAACTTTACTTGATAAATCAGAACAATCATAAATAGAGTAACATCCTATTCCACTTGATTATAAAACACAGTAGGGATTATATAATTGACAAAGTTGATTGCTTTTACTATCTTTAATAGCTTCACATTAATTAGATTGTACAATTTAACATTTTGAATCAAAAAAATAGCATTTTTCATTGTTTAATGTTAGAGTTAAATTGCATATGATTTAATTTGTAATCTAATCACAAGAGAATGGTCTTGATTCACATCCAGGTCCATATGTCCCATTTTATTAAATCTTTAATTAACATTAGTTATATTTTCTGAAATGTAAACATTCAGCTTCAGTTTGTGCAACAATATTTTCATAACACATTACATTTTTACATTTTCGATTTAATAGATCCCACTTGCAAGGTTACTATGAATATGTGATTACACATTGTTATTCAAATTAATAATCACAAGAATCTAAAAGATTTATACAAGTTCTACTAATCGAATTTATTGTACATTTAGAAAGAAACTTTTCACAATCTTCATGTGTTAATTCACCATAAATTCTATATTTACAATCAATATCAGAGTCATCTAAATAACATTTTTAATCTAAATCATTCCAATAACAATTTTAGCCACTCAAATTTGTTTTACAATTTATTTGTCTGATATAATCTTAGCAATTAGACTTTTTTTATTCACATCCCATTGCAAGAATAGTAGAAATCGCAGTACATTCAGGATTCCAGGCTTAACATTCTTAATGTGTATCATACATGCTATTATTAGGAGAGGATGTGCAAGTAAAAGAACTTGGTCTATTCATGCATCCTCCAGAATTATGATTAAAAATACAATTATCAAACCAGGTATTGCATTCAATATTATTTGTATACTCAATTTTAGGAGCATCTGAACATTCTTTTATTTTACATAAACTACCAGTCCAAAAACACTTTGTTCCATCTTATAGATTTAATTAACATTACTATTAGCTTAACAATTAGTTACAATTATTAGGCCATTATTAACATCCAAAACCAGAAGATCCTATTATACAAATCCCATTCATCACTTTAAACAATTTACAATCATTATTAGTGACATATATTGAAGGATTTGCATCGATGCAATTTCGATTCATGCACTTTTGAGTAGAACTATCCCATTTACAATTAATTCCTGATCTAGTTGTATAGCATTATTCTTAAAGAGAATCTTCACAATCGTTCTTTTTATCCTCACAACCGTTCATTTTTTTTTAATTTTATAAGACTACAACATGAACTGTGCAAAATGATAACCACTCTTCACATTCTTGATTAGTCTCATAATATCGTGGAGCACTATTACAAGTTTTTTCAATACATCCTGTATTAACTCTACAAATTGTTCCATTTGAATCTATCTAACACAACTAAATGTCAGAAATATTTTCACATAAATAATCTACACAACTCAATAAATCTGAGCTATAAGTACACAATAGATTTGCTTTTTGGCATTATTAATGATTACTGTAAGTTGGAAATTTCAATTAATTACATTTGAATAATTAGCATTTACCATCTAACCAAAAACATCTTTCTTAATTATAATTAAATTCACAAAATTATTCTTATAATATCTTATCACAAAAATCTGGTGTCTCTTAACATCCACCATCTAGTTTACCTATACAATTTCCATATTGCTTACAATCTGTGTTACTATAAAGATTTGAAGCATGATAACATTGTCTTTTTTCACATCTATTTTTATACCATATACAATCTTATTATTAAAGCGAATAACAATCTACTTAAGCAACATAACCTTCACATGTTTTAGGTCTCTATTTACATCCTCCATTTTCAGATGTTACACAATCCAAAAAATTATCGTAATCCTAACATTATTGATAATTTTATAGTTAGTATAAAGCAGTGTCACAGCTCTTGATTTTACATTAATTTTAATGATATATACACTTTGTTCCATAAGCATCTGTAACACAATTTTATTTATTCTTAACATCGCTGCATTGTTTTCTTTAGATACAATGAATTCCATTAGATGTACATTCACTCAAATAAGATTTACATATGTAATCTTCAGAAAAATGGAGATTTTCACATATTTTTTCAACACATTTACTATTTTTAGAATCCCAAAAACAATTTTCATTTTTATATTTACTTTCGAAGCATTAAAAATCATATAAATATTAGGTACATGAATCCTTTTAATTAATACATCCATAATTTTTTTCATCCACAGTACAGCCATCTAAACCTTATTTACACATAATATGACTCGATAAATAGAATGGAAGTTCTTAACAAATAGTAACATCTCTACATTTTTTTTCCATCCCTTATTCCCAAATACAGTATTAACCATTTTTATTTTTGTTTGCACATGCCATTTCTGTTTTGTATTAATTACATTCCTATATTTCAACACACTTTTAGCCATCTGAAACACATCTATATGATGATTATTAGCAATAGTCTTTCTTAAATAAGATACAATCAATAAACTTAATACATTAGCCCAAATAAAAACCACATTACTACTATACTCTACAGTCTTCTTCTGCAAAACTATTACATGTGTTCTAATTCTAATCCTCTTCGTTGTATGTTTGACCAGATTGTAAAATACAAACATCATTCTTCCAGAAGCAAAAACCAGAGTTTTTACAGTCATTTTAACTTTGAACATGTCCACAGACACATTTTTTTGAGACTTCTTCACTTCTTATTGATAGAAATATAAAAAACAAGACGTAATAGCAATTTAAAAATATCATTTTTAACCCATTGAATGATTTTAAGGTTTAATAATTACAAATTCTATATTGACTCATGCTTAATTGTGATTTATGATATTCAATCTAATTAGAGGTAATCTTTTCAGTCTATAATAAAAATATAAACTTAAACTCTTAATCAGACTCATAATAATAATAAATTTAGAGAAATGTAATTGCAGTATTTATATTATCTTAAAAAAATTGATTATAAATTGTTTTCAAACCCTTTTGATGATATATTAACTTCTTTAAGATGATTTTAAAGTACTTTCATTTTCCTTTTGTACATTGATAAATTTTAATTATAAGATGGTTTATGATTTAAACTTATAAATCTAACAGTGTTTGGATGAGTGTGTTATTTAGCTATAATTCTTTCCTCTATTATTGTTTTTTTCCCTACTTTTTAATTGTTAAATTTTATTTTTTATTTAGCTGATTTCTCTGCTCTAAATTTTTTTGTATTTGAATTCATTTCAGTTCTTTTTCTATAATTGATTAGACTCTATGATCAGATTCTTTTTTATGTTTGTTAAAGTAAATTTTTAATGAAAGAAAAAATTGTTGATACAATTAACAATTTTGAAGAATTTGATGAATTCAAATTATGAAAAAGAATTCAATTTAAACTTCGATATCATGGATATGGCTAAAGATTAGAGCAATATATTAAATTTAAGTTTCTTTAGATTTTATATGAAATTTAATGATTATTTAAAACATAATTAAAATCATTTGAGATATTATCAAAATATGTAAAAGTTCCCATTATTTCTTTGTTCTGTAAAATGAAATTAAAATTAATAGTTGTTATATGGTTTATTATTTATTAAATTTATTTTAATAATTATGATATCCCTTATATTAAAGACAAGAATAAAAATTAAAAAAAATGAATCATCAAATATGTAAATAAGGAGAGAATTTACAATTCAAATTATCACCATAAGAAAATTTATCAAATCTTCCAAAAACTAAAATAATTATAATTATTAAATTTGATTTGTGATTGAATGAAATGAAAAAAAATTATTCAAAATTTGTTAATAATATAACAATGATTTTCTTTTAATAGAAGTAACAATTAAACAGTAATTTGTTTTGAAAAAGCCGATTCTGACAGGATTAGAAAATCTCATTTTTAGTATGTATGAGGTTATATTACAAATATCTAAGATATCTAAAAATTCATAGAGAGGCATGTTTATAATCATTTTTTAAATAAGATTTTTACTTAAATTAAACTTAATAGGGGAAGTACAAAACTTGAACACAATATAAAGTGAATTAATGAGTATTATAAAAATTACATATTAATTTATGAAATTCAATTAATTTTTTAAAAATTCAACTAATCAAAAATTGCCCTGCAGAACTTAATAATTATTTGTAAATAAGGGAAAAAGAATTGAAAATCAATTTATCTCATTTATTTATTTAGATAAATTCCTTAAAATCACCAAATAAATATAAGGTTTTAAAGATATAAATATTCAAGGGCATTTTGTAATCTAGAAATTTAAAGAAAAACAATTTCAACCAAAAATCCAATATTAATTATGACAAATATGAAGGCCTGAGAAAGGTTTTGTATAAAAACATTCACATTTCTGAACACAATGATAAAAATTGGCAATTGTTAATGTCTAAATTAGGATAAACAAGAAAAATGTGATCATTAATTGAACTCAAATTAAGTATAAATTTAAATTATTCATCAAATTTAGTAAATCTATATAATTAAAGAAAATTAAGTAATGAAAATGTAGAATTGAATTTTCAATAGAATATCTTATTTCAATTATAATCAATTCCAAATCTACTCAAAATCTGAATTTCAAGTTTACAAAAATCCATTAGATACTGCTATTGACTTGTAGTATAATCTTAAGTTATAGTTATAAAAATTCAATATTAAAATAAAAAAAACAAAATGTCTGCCAGTTTTGAATAGAAAGGAGATCTAGCTGATATATTTATTTAAGTTAAAGATGTAGATGAACAAATATTCAGTGTTCTATTAGAAATATTTCGAAAGGAAAAAGTTACAGACTGTATAGGATACCTTTCAGATTATGGAATACAAAGACATCTTGAATAATCCATTTTACAAGGAAAGAATTTAACAAAAGTTCAATCTGAAAAGAAATTGCAAAATATTCACAATAACATGAAAAAAATTACTGATATCTTAAAAAAACTTAAAGTTCATGACTATAATTAAAAAGACTATTCGACTGAAGAAAATTAAGAATTTATAAAACTACTTATTAAAAGTATAAAAGATGAGAAACTCTGCTTAGAATTTTTATTATTTTTAGTCCACCTCACATCCATTGATAACACTTTAATCTCATGTGGGTCAAATTCTTTTCACGTCCTAGTTTAGATGAAGGTAGATCTAAGAAATAAAAATTTTTAAAATATTAAGATCTAAAATACTTCTTTGGTCGGCGCTCATTTTGTTAGGTGTAATTTAAGTGGATCAGAATTTAACAATGTTAACATAAGTGGGGTGAATTTGAATGGAGCTTAATTATTTAATTGTAAATGGATAAACTTAAGAATCCAAGAAATTAATAAATTAAATGGTCATACTCATTTTGTCAAATCAGTCTGTTTGTCTCCTGATGGTAATACTTTAGCATCTTGTAGCGTAGATAAGTCTATCCTTTTATGGGATATTAAAACAGGAGAATAAAAAGCCTAATTACTTGGTCATACTTATTCTATTAACTCAATATGTTTCTCTCTTGATGGTAAAACTATAGCATCTGGCAGTGATGATAAGTCTATCCGTTTATGGGATATTAAAACAGGAGAATAAAAAGCCAAATTTGATGGTCATAATAGCATAGTTTACTCGGTCTGTTTCTCTCCTAGTGATAATTTATTAGCATCTGGTAATTTTGATACCTCCATTCGTTTGTGGGATATTAAAACAGGATAATAAAAAGCCAAATTTGATGGTCATAATAGCATAGTTTACTCGGTCTTCTTCTCTCCAGATGGTAAAACATTAGCATCTGGTAGTGGGGATTAGTCTATCCGTTTATGGGATGTTAGAACAAAAAAAAAAATTGCTAAATTCGATAGTCATAATAACACTGTTTATTCAGTCTGCTTCTCTCCTGATGGTACCACATTAGCATCTGGTAGTGGAGATTACTCTATCCGCTTATGGGATATTAAAACTGGATCATAAAAATTCAGATTGGAAGGTCATTACGAAACTGTCCACTCAGTCTGTTTCTCTCCTGATGGTACTACATTAGCATCTGGTAGTGCAGATAACTCTATCCGCTTATGGGATATTAAAACTGGATCATAAAAATTCAAATTGGAAGGTCATTACGAAACTGTCTTCTCAGTCTTCTTCTCTTATGATGGAATTATTTTAGCATCTGGCAGTGCAGATAAATCTATAAATTTATGGGATGTTTAAATCGGATCATAAAAAACCGAATTAGAAGGTCATTATGATTCTATCTACTCAGCTTGTTTCTCTCCTGATGGAAATACATTAGCATCTGGTAGCGCAGATAACTCCATCCGTTTATGGGATGTAAAAACAGGATCATAAAAAATCGAATTGGAAGGCCATTATGGAACTGTCTACTCAGTTTGTTTCTCTCCTGATGGAAACACATTAGCATCTGGTAGTGCAGATAGTTCTATCCGTTTATGGGATATCAAAACAGGGAAAGAAAAAGCCTAATTATATGGTCATACTAGCGGAATATTTTCAGTTTGTTTCTCTCCTGATGGTACTACATTAGCATCAGGTTGTGCACTTTATTCTATCCGTTTATGGGATGTTAAAACAGGATCATAAAAAACCGAATTGGAATGTCCTTAAGGAACTGTCTACTCAGTTTGTTTCTCTCCTGATGGAAACACATTAGCATCTGGTAGTACAGATAGCTTTATCCATATATGGAATATTAATACAGGATAATTAAGAATCAAATTAGAAGGTCATGATGGAAGTATCCATTCAGTTTGTTTCTCTCCTGATGGAAATACGTTAGCATCTGGTTGTAGTTATGGTTCTATCCGTTTATGGGATATAAAAAGAGGTAAATAATTAACCAAATTGAACGGTCATGATGGAACTGTCACATCAGTCTGTTACTCTCCTGATGGTACTACATTAGCATCTGGTAGTGCAGATAACTCTATCCGTTTATGGGATATTAACACAGGATAATAAAAAGCAAAATTTGATGGTCTTAGCAGTTGTATTAACTCTGTCTGTTTCTCTCCTGATGGAAATATAATAGGATCAGGTAGCTAGGATAACTCTATCCGTTTATGGAATAACCAAACAGGATCCGAAATTTAACCTTATGACAAAAATTTGGAAGATGACTTAATAAAATTTTAAACACCATTATTATAACAAAATCCTTTAACAGGTATAATTTTTCATAATTTTTAGTCCCTTCTAGTTATACTATACTCCTAATATCCCGATAGGCCATATTTCAAGCTTAAGGAACTCTAATTCTCAAAGGAAAATTTGAGAATTAATAAGGCATAGATTTAAGAAAATTATTAAAACAAAAAGGTAGTTATTTTTTGGACAGCTGATTAAAATTTAAATAGAAGTTAAATTGTTTTACATTAAACATAAATATCCAAAATTTTTTATTTTTCCAATATTTATTTTAAAAGATCTATTTGATTTAGTACCTGAGATTTTCATCATTGGTTTTTTTTCAAAATAATACAAAACACCAATAATCATGAAAAAATTGTTCCTTAAATTTAAAGAGAGACTCAGTAATAATAGAAGCCTAAATTATTTTTTAATATGGATGTCGAGATATACATTACCTAACCAATTTTTTTTTATTGTTACATTAAAAAGCTTTTTCTCTAAGTTATAAAAATAAACTAATTAAAGAATCTATGATACATTTGTTATTTTTATGTGTTATGATATAAGTCATTATACAGCCCTAATGAGTAGATACTGTTTTTTACAATCATATTTTTATATGAATATAGTTATTAATTTAGGCATTATTTACTTATCACAAAACAATTAAGTGAGCATTTTACAGTTTATATAAAAGTGAGCTTAATTTTTAAGGAACTTATATTCCATAGAATCATTCGATTTTACGATTTTTGTTGTTGCTATTACTTCATGATTTTGTTTACAATTAGCCATATTAAAAAATGTATCTATTAAATTTTCAAATAAATTATATTATCCAAAATTTATTATAGTTCTATTTGTTTGGAATTCCAGTAGTTTTCAAAGAACGTTTTTCCTTAAAGGGAAGATGGTAAATAAATTAAAGAGTTCTTTTTTTATAATCTTATTATTTAAATCTCTGCATTTTTGCTTTAACTGATATTCTATCAATAAAATTGGATTCTTAACGGGCGTGGTATCTATAAGGCAACTATTTCTACCAAAATTCTAAAAGAAATTATAATCTGAGGATGAGCACTATATTTTTTTCAATTCATTTTGTTTTATAAGGAAAAATTCTTTGATATTATCTTAAAGTAAGAAGTAATCTAAATTTTTAGAGAAAGGAGGATGGTTTTAAGAATAAAATTATTCTAATAAGGATGGAGTTTTCAAATTTCATATTATATTATTTCCTATTTTATAGAATTTAATTATGACTTGTTCAATATTAAATTTACTGAGTCACATTTTTTGTTCTTTAAATAGCATATGAAAGAGCCTGTAATGAATAATTATATAATAAAAAACTTGCATTATTAAAATAGTCAAAGGCAAAACGGTTACACATCGGAAAGATTCCTTAAATTGAAAATACTTAATGAATAATAATCGGATACTATTTGAAAAAAATTGAATAAAATATCAAGATATTATTTTTTTTGCATTTATCATATAAAAATCTCTTTAGAGGCAAATATTTGGATGTATCAATAATCAGAGTTTAGTGACAATAATAAGAAATTGATAGTTCATTAAGCCTCTTGTTATTTCATTTAAAATTTGTTACTTCCTTTTCAGTGTGATTATTCTTTACTGAACTGCTAATAAGATATTATCCTTCATTATTTAAATAAATTACTTTTTGGTTAATCTATTTCTTTTCTCATTTAATATCTCTTTCAATCAAATAAATATATTTTCATTTAGCTTTTCATCTAGTTACTTACATATTTTAATTATTTTAATATAAACTATAATAAAAATTTTACTCATTTAACTTGGTGCTTATACCACATTGGATTAATTTATAAGCTAATTTCTAGCCTCAGATATTTTCACATCATTTTTTAATCTTCTGGATTGAAACCTCTATAAATATATCCTCACTTCTATATCTGTGTATCGGATCATTCCTAACTATGTGTTTCATTATCTTTTTAGAATCCTTCTAAAAATTTTTAAGGACTCCTACACTTAGTACTAGTTGTAAATATCAAAAAGTCAAAGAATATTTTTGAAGCTGGGGGCAAGGTTATTGGGAGCTATTTTCGGAATAAATGATAGAGGTGGTTCCTGGGATTTTTTAAATTTCAACCCTGATTTAATTTTTCATTTAAACATAATATACAAATTGAATCGTAATAAAAAATTATCATTAATATACATTCTGATTAAGTTTACTTAGTAGATATTTATTTTTGTAATTTAATTTTTATTTATTATATAAATATTTAAATAATATATTTATTTAAAGACCAAGATGAGTTTAGCTAGTTTTCTGATACAAAATCATTTCCTAAGTAATGGCGGTGGAATTGGTTGAGATAAATTGTGTAACGGGAAAGGAAAATAGGAATTGGCATTTTAGTGAGAGGGATACAATCTGGATTGATACTTTAGCATATTTAAAGATATTAATCTTTTAACACAAATTGTGGATTAAATTTTTGTTGATTAATGGTTTGATGGAAAATAATTCAGATATGAAAATAAATGATATTTTAAGATAAAAAGAAAATTTTAGTAATTCCAATGAGAAAATCTTTTAACTAAATAATCGGCTGTTTTG